CAATCTTCTTTGGTGTATTTATACCGTCTCCTGTTATCCTTCTCTACATAGCACAGTCAGTCTATTCACTAGGAAATTCAAAAACATTTTTGACAAATGCTGTCAATTTGAAACTCTATTTGTCTACAACAGCAGAATGGTCTCCCTTGTTATAACCGTTCAGACGACAGAAAGCAAGATCACTCAAATCTCAAGATTTAGTATCTATCACGTATGATTTCAACCTGATTAAACCAGAATTCAACCGGTTATCTGTAGCGTGTGCAACCCACACTTTCTGCAATGCACCAACAATGAACGCATAAGGCAAGGTATCAATTTGCTTTGTGGGACCAAAGACAAAAATGCCCTACCTCTGGATTGGTGCAATGGTGCATGAATAAAGGTATTCAAACAGCGATGCTGTGCGTTTACCGTCGACATATAATAGCTATTTTCCACTATATAGTAGGACTATCGGGAGTACTAAACCGAATACACAAAGATAGGTGGACGTTGTAGCAACTTCTAAAATTAGTCAACGGTAAATAAGCTTTCTGTTTGCAGTAGAACACCTATCCGAGATTCCTCCACCGGGGGAGATGAAACTGAATTGATTTACCTTGCTTATCACGCCCGTCCAGCTCCGTGGGAGAGAAACAATTTAGTGCTGGAAATTTGCACAATCTCAGTCAAATACGAATTCAACTTCATCCACGCAATTCTTCTGTAGTGTTCGATTGGATGAAGAATCGAAAGACAGAAGAAGAAACCCCGTCGCACCATTGTGAGTTGTGAAGACCCAACTGAACAGTGTGAAACTTACTTTACTTTACTCCGGCTGGCTCCTTGGAAAGGATGAGCCGGCTCCAGACATTATCAAGATTGTGGAGTTCCTTGGGAGTTTGGTACGAGGGACGTCCACAACATCACTCGGCGTTTTTTTATTTCGAGGGCGCACCTCTAGTCTTTGCACAGATGCGAACTGTAAGGCAGCAGGAAGTAATCCCTCGCCTCAGAAGTGAAGGGATCAATGAATTTAGTTTTAAAAGGACAGTTACATCGGCCTTTGTCACGACACCGTCATTGGGCTTGTGCGGCTTTTAAACAGGAGCCAGGTGAACAGCCTGAAACCCACCGCACCCTGGTAGTGCCACCGCTGTTTGTTTGCGACTGCTTATTTGTTGCGGTATGCCACAACTTATTCACAGCTAACCTTCTTCGGTGAAGGTATCCCCCTATCCACAACCCGGGGCCGCGCCTGGTAGCATTCAGCTCTGCTTAACCCGAGGGTATCCAGGTGAAACAACCACGGGAACCACGGACCTAATTGAAAAGCCATGCAGCCCATCTCCGGACCTTTACTCGACAGTGGAATGCTGTATGCATGCACCAGATCAGTAAATGCACGCAATGCAGATGTGCACGTGGACAAAATTGTGACCTTTCTCATCAACGATTTTACGGCGGAACATGAAGAGCTCAACAAATCAACTATGAGCTACAAAGTCCAACTGACAGCCAATTAACTTCGTGAACTGAATGACACCAATTCTCCTATTGAAGTGATTCTCCAAGTACTAAAATGTTTGTAAATTGCTGTGGTCGTCAGAAGACCACAACAACTGAGCACTAATGGATGGTTTTTTGAATTTACCCCTGGCATTCAAACGGCAGCGTTAAGTTCAACGCGATACCAGTAAGCAAAAAGTACGGGAGACGAATACTCCAACTTGTATGACAACGACAACAACAGCAGTGGCGCAGTGTTTTAATCGCGATTACCCGCGTGCTTTGGACCACATGGTCAAAAGTTCAAGCCCCGCCACTGCCACCCAACTTTGGGGGTAGGCAGCATTGCTGTCGTCCGGTTCAATACAGAAGCCTAATCTGGAGGGGGTCCTACGTGGTTCGCCACTTCAAGTCCTGGGGCTTAGGTTACCGAGTTTCATCAATGAGTAGCAGGCCCTCGTGACTATGGAGTATACCGCGTCTGCTGTTAATCACACTAAAGTGTGCAACACACGACGTAGGATTCCCGACAAAGCACAATGTACGACACGCAGTAACCGTACAGGTGGAAAACTTACGATTCAAACAATTCAGACTGTCGCCAGAAGTTGAGCAGACGTTGAATAACCGTGGTACGCAAGGAACCAGATGCATCGGTGGAGCCTGGAGCGAAACAAAAAGAGAAGAGACCGAAGAAATCATCGGCAAGAGCAAGGCCGTACAGCTTGGGTCTACTACGTGGTGGGACATGAACTAACTCGAGAGCAATCATGAACGCGATGTCAAAGAAAAACGAGTTACGTGAATGGATCTACCAGTTCAGTTGAAACGCAACATGCCAGCCACTAAGAGTTGTGTGTTACTGGTTAATTTTAACTTAGGACCAAATGTGAGAAGATTATCTCATTCCTTAGTTGACGGATGAGATTTATTACTTGAATAAGAAAAATCTGTTCGACTTTCAGGGACGTATGGATTCATAGGTTGCACTCAAATCCAGAGAATGACGCATGCTCTCCTGGGGAGATAGTACTAAACTTCCGCTAGCAATCTCGCATGCTTCCTGCGGTAACTTATCCTTCGCTCGTGGAGATTAACCTTGGCTTCGTGATTAGCACGAAGTTAAGTCCTAATAGCTCGGTGTAGAATCGATATGTGTCTCCTGTTGCTAACTAGCCTTTTTAATATTACCTGAGTGCATTGGGAAGGTTACATCGGCCAAACCGATTCAGAGACAGTACCGATCAATCACCTGCATTTTGGGGGAGCCAAATTAGGGGAGGTCTAGTTATCAAATTGGACAAGAATGTGCAAATGAGAGCATAAATCACGCCAGAATCAATAGCGGTAATCCACACTTGTTCCCAGTAATCTTAGGAAGATATCAAAAAGCCCATTCAGTGAATCAATACTATCCGGGGATACAGTTACAGCACTCGATAGTCACGGTGGTTAGGTAAATGAGATGAACGAAAAAAGAGAAAGACTGAGGGGAAAAAAGGATCAGGCGACAGGTCTTACGTTGTGGAAGGAGTACATCAACCTCCGGGTCCATCACTGCCTCGTTCTCTTCACCCAGTTCCACACTGGCTTCGGTGATCGGGACTTCACCGTGTATTGTGTCCATCAGGAAATCGGCCGGATTGTTATAACCCTCAAGTACATAACCTGCAAAATAGTACAATTTAAATCGATGACGGTTTTTGTATAATCAGTACAGATCAGGGTGACAACAAAACTGTACGATTGAGTAGCCCTAACACGGGTGAATCGATGAATCTGCCTTTATTTTTAGTTGTAAGCTACATTCGGAATATATCCCGATAAATCATAAATCGACATGTACAGATTCATCCTGTGAAATCAGTGCTTTGCCTAGGGGGAGGAGGGGGGACGCTCAAAACGAGTTGACCTTTCAGGGCCTCATTCGTGTTGCACGATCAATATTTCACTCATCACTTGAAATCCTTGGAAGAAACGCAGGGCGGTTTTTACCCTGGTCAGAACCGATCAGTAGTATAGATCCACTGAATCCATGGAAATCTGCATCCGGAAACGGGTTTCTACCGCGATGTGTGAACCACTTTGGCTAGTTGAGCAGTTGCATACATTGAATAGCGTTCCTTATTTAGATGACGAAAGCGTGCTGAAATTACAAAGTCAACCGGTCGTGCACCACGAGTTGTCGGGCAGAGAATTTTCGGATCTTGATATACCACCTTTACACAACGGACCCGAGATTTAAAAAAATGTCGACCACTAATGGGAATTTTGATGGAGGAGACAGAAGTAGTGACTAGACGCACAATGATCAAATGCGGATTTATTATACAAACGTCGATTTCATTCAGATGCCCGGATCTTCATTGAAATTTGACTCAGTTCCACGTGGATGGTGAAAGGGTAAAACGTCGATGAAGATTTTCAAGGCGTGGGTGGGGGGGTTCGCGCAAAACATATATGCACAATGCACTTTTCAACTCGGCAACGGGAAATCGTGTTCCATGACGTCCAAAAACACTTGCGCATCGCTAAACAGCGCAACCGGTAGAGAAACAAAGCGACGCTTACAACAATTAGTGGAAAACGACCGTGTAGTATAGCAACCGGTTGCCAAGTTAATCACGATATACACAATGAACAAACCAACCAGCCAAAATTGAAGGGATATATTGGTAGTCAGGTTTGTGGAGTGACCATGTTTGGTAGTTACGAGATGTAGCCTGAAACAACTTGAATCAGCACGGCTGATAAAACGGGTATTCACCCAATTACGTTGGATCCATGAACCGGCGACCAATTAAGAGTGCATCAACCTGAAATATTTTGTAGGGTGTAGGGTGGCGTACGGAACAGAAACCACGTCGTTTTTCGTTAGGAGGATTCACTTTACACAACAAGCACATTATGGATGAAGTGAGCGATTCAATGCAGTCTACTAATCAATGCACTTGTCGCCAACGCAGACTAACAGTATGTGCGGCCTGTCGGCAAACGCCAGCTGCCTCTCCCGGACTCTGGTTGTACCGAGATTCTTTGCATGATACGCCACACTCGTGGGAACCTATCGAACACCTACCATAACAAGAAACCTGAACTTTGTAATTTGGAGTGGCGAAACATGTAAGGCCCATTTTGGATGCGTATGATATTGAGTCGGGCCAAAGATAGAAGTTGTCTGAATGAGGCATCAGTGGCAGGATCCAAAGTTTGGAGCTTTGAAACCGAGCACGTCTGAGTGTGACGGCGACTTGAACCGCTGGGCCACCACCACCAACAACAACAAAAAAAGCTCCCCGATTGAACACTTGAACAAAATCAAGTTTTAGTTGCGCAGAGAAAATGTCAGTCTGATTAGAACGTATCATAGCAACGTGGGTCAGAGTACCGGATCCGAATGAAAGATCGACAACCAAGATAGTGGAATGTGCTTGTTTGGTAGAACAATTTTCACTCAAAGATCGAATGATGATAAACTACAAATTTCGATTAGGCTTCTTAGGTAATGTTGTTCTCATGAGACCCAGTGAAAAAGTAAGTACAGTTGAAATGGTTTCGTTCGAGTTGGTGTGTTCTGATTCTGATGTCAATAGTGATTTGAGTTGATCAACTAGATGCCCGTGAGTTGCTGCATAAGAATTTCGGCACCCAAACACCTAAGTTCAGCCCAAGAGGCCAAGACTGAATTGCAATTTCTCGATTTAGACGGATGGGGAGCATAGATACGTGCGTTTTATCTGGGAAGGTATTAAACTGAACCACTATCAATAAACGTATGGGAAATCTCTTCGATGTTCTACAACCTATCCAACTCTAAAATCACTAGAAGGGCATTTTTTAATTTATTTTCACACACTCCTGAGTTCAGAATGTGTGCCGACCAAATCACAGTACAATAATAATATGATGACAAAAAAAGAAAAAAGGTCTATTATTTGCTCGAGAGAACGATGCTGCTACGTTGTTCAGGTTAAAGTGAATTTTCTTAGAAAGTTCACAACTGGAGCTTACGCCTAGTCAAAACCTGACCCACAAGGCAGAGAGGTGGTGTGTGAAAAAAGCAATTTATTGGCGGTGGGTGTCCAGTTCATTAGATCACACGCCCTTTGAATGGGGTCAAACGTATATGGTGTCTAATACACCTGGATGCCCAATCGAGGCGGTGACCATTAAAGCGACCAGGATACTTGGCAGCCAGTGCAACAGCAATCCGTTTCTGATTGATACCTGATCAACATAATCACGGTATCTGTCAACCGTAAATGTACCAAACGGTCGATCAGACCCGAGGACAACCCGCCTCAATCAAAATTCCTGAACAAACCTAGAGCGTATAATTTTCATTCGACCAGGTCAATAACTTTCCATGCGAAGTTTTATCACCGGATGTGAACAATGGTACCTAAGTATCGAAATTTCACCAGCTTACGATGGGAATGGAACTTGAAATCCTGATTCGACAAACTCCGAAGGTTTAATCCCGAATCACGGTCACTTGGTTGATCAACTCAGGTTACCGCTTGATACATAACTGTCATCAACAGCAGGATGTGCACAGTTAGGTGAAATCCATCTAGACTGACAAGCACAGACATACCATTAGACCTCTGAAAAATAGTGTACTGTTTCAATCGAATAAAGGACCCGGTTGTGTATCACCCTAAATGTGATCACTCTAAATGAGAGGATCCCTTCAGTGAATCAACGAAACTCCAAATGCACACATCGCGTAACAGCTTGCCTAGTGCAATGCTGTCTAGTACAGTAATTGACCAGAGATTTAAACAAATCACGATGACGAAAAGAAACTCACCAAACCGGCGAAAATAATCGATGGGATTACGGCCGGCCGGGCCATGGTAAATCATTTGACCGTTGGCGATCAGCGTCAATCGATCGAACAAACGATAGATAGAATATTTCGGTTGGTGAATCGAGAAAACGATGGTTCGACCAGCGTTTGACATCCTGGGAAAAAAGACAGGCACAGGCGAAGAATGATGCAAGATAAATATGGCGTTTGGTAGTGAGAGACGTGTAAAAGGCTGTGTCCGTTACCCTGGGATGCCTTTGAATACACTGATTCCCTCCCTCAAGTATACATTGATAGTTAAAGTGATCAGCATAGGGACCTGGAGGTCCCGAGTTCGAACCCTGCCACCACCGCTCCTCTTCCACCTTTCTGTATTTCCCCAGACAGCTTGTATGTGGCCGCAGCTCCCTGCCTGAAAGTTGACTGCATTTTTTATATTCGATGGACAAAAACGGAAGTAAAACATTTATAATAATATTATTAATTGATATAATATGAAGTCTGCCCATTTTTTATTCGAGTACTACTTTAGTCTTTTCACTGAACGCGACTCCTTTATTTATTGATCAGCCCAATGAGTAGTTTACAAACAGAAATAAAAGCCTGTGAATAGTAATGCTGAGCTATTGTTCGACATGAAGCTGACTGTCTGATGAGAAAAACATGCCGAACGCCATTTAAACTCATTGAGAAAATCTCGGAAGATTCATGCGTTTTGTTGATTCATTCGGTGTGAAAGTAAATAAACTGAATATTAATGATCTCCGTGGATCGAGTTTTGCTTCCGGATGTCTCAGCATTATTTTTGTGGAAATCCGAAAACTGACCGAAATTCCTGCAGTTTCGAGTCCAAAGTGTCTACATTCCAACGCCACATTAGAAATGAAGACAGCCTACTGATTACGAAGGCAGTGCAGATGGTTTCCGGATGAACAAAGTTTTATTTGTTACACAAAAATAAGCCCTACATTTGCTCAAAGTATTCTCGGCCAGCGTTCATGCACAGTTCTATGCGTTCAAACCATTTGGTGGAACAGCTCGACCATGCCGAAGCGGGTGACATTCAACCATTCCAATAAAGGCCTCCACTACAGCTGTTGGTGACTCGTATCAGATTTCATGCATTCTATGCTTGAAGAAGCGTTTATGAACTGGCGAAGACAGTGAACACTGGTGTATACCGCTATCACCTTAGCTGGACGAGGAACAGCACTGCTATCGGCAGCGATCGTGCCACAACAAAATTGCTCAAGCTGTATGCCAAACTGCTGATTTTGACTGTTATAAATCCAGAAAACGAGTGCCGGACTGAAGAGACTGGTTTATTGCAAACATGATATGCGTAGTGGGTAAATCGGGTTATATAGAACGAGGCATGTAAGCCGATATAGTCAAGTCACTGTTGCATAAACGGGAGTTAGACAGCGTCTGTATCTTGAATTGTTACAATATTAAAACCACCAATCCACTTCCGGATGTCTTACTAATTTTTTAATAGTGTGAGAATCTATCGACCTCTTCTTCATGAGCGCACCAAACATACCACTCATTAATATGAATAGCACTTCACCACACCTATAACTCTGCTTTGCGATTGGGGACCTTATAGCTTTTATTGCAAAACTAGCGGCGATGTAGTCAAGGAAACTAAAATCAATTGATTAAAACCACAAGACTTGAAGGATACTTTTTTAACTATACCCTTATTGTAACGGGTAGAAGTGGAGATAAATCACAGCCTCCAAACACAAAGACTACGGATGTCTGAAAGGTAACGTGTCCTCCACTGTTCTATCGATCCAAACAGCAAACTGATGTGATATACCTACTAGTACTGAGAATTATATTATGGATCAAATATCTGAGAGCTCGCAACGGATCCGCTTCGATCGATCCTATCTGTAATCTTTTTACAGCAAACGCAGTTCTGCTAAGAATCGGTCGACGAGATAAACGCAAGAGAAGAACAATGAAGATGTGTTCGCACAGGAAATTATACATGCGTAAGGAATCTGATGTGGATAGATGCATCACTCACCGTTTGAGAGTTTTCATGACAGTCCCCGCGGTGTACGCATCCAATCCGGTCGTGGGTTCATCTAAATACAACACTAACGGGTCTTTGATCAACTCTATCCCGATACAGGTCCGCTTCCGTTCGCCACCGGACACACCGCGCGCATATTCCGTACCGAGCTGATTAGACAATGACAATGACAAAGCGAAAGTCCCGGGTTCAGAATCATTAAAATAGGAGGGTGTGGGTGGGTATCGAAGGAGTGGGACGTAATGCGGTATACATTGTAAAATGGTGTAAAGTCGTTTAGTAATCAGTACGAATAAGTCCCACTAAATCAGCAACTGAGACCGTTCAAATCAAGTTCAATAATCAATGGGCAAACATCAGACGATCTACCACAAGCAAAGAGCGAAACAGCGAGAACCATCGAGAACTATCGAAAAGAGAACGAATGCTACACCGACCTGCTTGGATTAGAAGTGCGTGCTGAAATCGTTTGACGAACGAATGAAGTTACAGTACGCATACCGAAGACTCGTGTGGTGTTTTCAAACTTGAGGCACATCTAGTGATGTAGTGACATTTAAATGATCGTGAAGGGTTGAGTATACATCATTGCAGTTCCACTAGTGCCACATCATAGTACAGACATTTTGCCTTTAAAGAGAACAAATTTGTTTCTACACGTTACCACATCACATCCGAATCCACCGATAAATACAGATTAACTTTATTTGTGTGTTCTCCAGATGGAGAACGACACTCGCCAGGAGGATCAGTTATTGAAAACACGCCTGTTCGGCATTCTTGTCGTCCTGCCAAATTTGTGGTAATTAAGAAAAACCTATTCGTAAAGCAATCTAGAGCAATTAGAACGCTCCATTTCCCAGAGATACTCAATCAAGTTAATTAGGATTGTCGGCAAAATGGTGCTTGCAATGCTCAAATCCTTTGGTCACGCATCACCTCATCCTTCACGCTTGATATTCGTTTCATTCAGATTTAATGAGGAATGTCTTATTAAGTACGAAAAAGGAAATAAGACGTGAAATGCTACGGAGCAGCTGTGCAGCTGTAATTTCTATCACGCAAACATCGTGCTTGTAGCTTTTAGACAAAGTTTACATTCAATAATTAGGGAGGGGGAATCTAATGATGCGAAGACTAACGGCTAGCAACGAGCACATCACGCATGTTCAAGCGGGTATGGCAAAAGTGCACACGGGATAATCCCTGATTTCATGATGTAGTCACCATTTCCGAGGCACACAGACTATCATCGCTGTCTGTATGGTAGCGGGTGAAAGCGGGGATACAGGTGTGTGTGAAAGAGAGAAGGAAAAAAGATTGGAGCTGTGTTTACGTTCTCCCATAAAACTGGAAATCTGATGTATGAACACACATATGACCGTTTTACGTTCCAGAATTGACCACTACACTGATTGACAAACGGATCTTCCAGGTCAGACTGAACTTCATTTAAACTTATTATTCAAGCCACCTTAGGACTGAGATGTAAATTGCTTTTCATCACCGGACAAAGACCTGCTGATAAATCGTTCAAAAAGACATCAATAAAGCTGTGTCCAATAGACTGGTCTGAGGATCCTCGTGACCAGGTCTGACTGCGATTGGACAAATCAGATCGGTTTCTTCAGGTTGTGCATATCTCTGCGTCTCTTGATCGTGCGAAGCACCTCGCATTGAATATTACGCTTGAGGCCTTGCGAATGTCTGTGCCTGGGAAGTTCAGCTATCTACTGGGAAAACAAAATGATCTTTCGAGAGACAACCTTGAATTCGCATACGTTCTGCTGAACGAAATGTGCCCGCTCTTATTCTCATTCCACTTAAAAACACGACCATAGAAACCAACCTTACGACTAAACTCCATGGAGAGCCACAAACCGAAAGTCTATCATTCAGTTCGCACTCTCACTAAGAAATTCCATCATTCCAATGTGGAGAAAAAGGTGATCAGACTAGGGTTAGTACTTGCATTGAAGATAAGATAAATATCATCTTATATTGTATCGTGTTACTTTTGCAAGAACTGATGCCTACATTTCAGTTGATTCGCTTCACTCCTTAAGGGCATTATAATTTGTTTGGCACACCGTCTGGAATCAGAGGTGTATGAAATATATGAGATATAACCTCACGTGATGAACAATATCGGCTATCTTTCAGGCATCAGGACTTCCTTCGCTTCCCATCACCTCCTCTCACTTCACCAAGTTTAAAGTCACCTTGTATTGGAGTGCTGTAACCACGTGACAGTGAAACTTCATCTCTTTTTCCGTTCAACAAAAGGTCATTCATCTCACCAACGAACCATCGCTAACATGTTTTTTGTGATCAAAAGCTCAAGCAGTCGCTTTCTTCTCTTTATTCTACCAAAACTGTTTTTACTTCTGTTCAACCGCAATTGCCTCATCGATTTGCTTTTCCTCGTAGATCCCGTACACTAGAGACTAGTTACCCATTCTAAGTGACTCTCCAAATGTTGTTCACTTCGAACTTGCAATCCTCGTTTCTATTAAGAATAGCACGACTGTGGAACACTCGCCCCGTTTCGGGCTTCCCTCCAAATTACGTTCAAATCAAAGATCCTAAACCCCATCCATTGCCGGCCGATAGATTTCACCGACTGAGATTTTTCTGACGTCCGATTACCGTGTGTTTTAACTGTAAACAAACAAGCATCGTCAAAGGAAAACGAGGTAGTTCGAAGGTATCTTTTTGTTGGAAAATCAGGAGCACACCTGGTCTGCTTTACGGTACAGAGACTTGGCCGTTACGAAAAGAGGATGAAGATAAACACGATCCGTGTTCAAACACTGCTATCTATGCCATACTGCACGAGTATGATGAGGCGACCGAATAGGTAATGCTGAGGTTACGAATGGACCTTTAGACGATCACGGTCGTTTATCGGAGTTATGTGTTCGAACTACATAGACCACATTGGCTGGGTTAGGTGTTTCGGATTTCAACTAATGAATCTCCTCGGCTGGCGCTGTTTGCCCAGGTAGGTGGTGGGAGGAAAAAAGTCAAGGGTCGCATGAAGGAATAAAAACCGTTACCAGGAGACTCGGTCAAAGAGCTCTGGTTAAACCTCCCTGATCGGGACTTCGACATCAGCGTCATCCAGGGTTACAGTTCAGTTTATACAACCATTAACCACGCATATTCGTGCGCCGGTTTTGGTTGCTGTCTTTTGGCTGCCCATTGGGATGAAGGATAGGAAAAGAAAGGAAAGTTGAAATTGAAGTCGAACAGAAAATGGAGAAGTTCAGTGGTCTAAGGTTGCAAAGCAATTGAGAAGATGCACGAACGCCACGGTTTGCGACACCCAGCCATATCATTCAGTGTCTCTAACCATCGATTACGATCATCCCGAAGTCCCCAGTCAGGGAGCCTAACGGAGCTATGTGACCCAGTCTCCTGGTTAGGGTTTTCATACCCTCGTGCCAGGTTTTAGCTTGACAGCCCTTAGCTTTTTTCCACTCGGTATGTGCTTGGGTGAACATCGATCGCCTATCCTATTTTCTTAATGGCCAAGTTTCTGCACCGTATAGCAGAACTGGCCGAACTGTCGCGGCATACACTCGACCCTTCACAGACAGCCGGATGTCGCGACGGCGCCACAGATGTCTCAAGTTCGTAAATGCCAATCGAGCCTTCTGTATGCGAGCTGACACTTCATCCGTGATTCCTCCACCGGGTGAGATGTAGCTGCTCAAATAGCAAAACTTATCCACTTGCTCTATTACTTCCCCAATGAAAGTGAGGCTGGGTGCTGGACCAACTCAGTCTTGTAGTAACATCTTACACTTTGAAGGTGCAAAACGCATACCGAATATGCTTACGCTGGCATTCAAATTATCCAGAAATGCTTGCAACTTACCTGGATCTTCACTTAGTAACATAGTATCGTCAGTTTACTCTAAATCAGACAGTTCGCCTCCTGGAAGTAAATCGATGCCGCCATCCTCGCACGAGGATAGGGCTGTTTCCATAATCAAATCTATAACAAAGTTGAATAAAAAAAGGAGAAAGAGTTCAACCCTGACGAACACAACTTTCCATGTTGAACTCGGGCGAAAAAGTGCCGTAAGCCCGGATTGAACTTCGGCTATTAGTATAAAGCGATCGNCCTTTCAGAGAAAGACAGCGCCAGAGTTTAGAGCGGTCGACTGAGTCGAAAGCCGCCTTCAGATCGAGGAAGATAGAGATGGTGGGTCTACGAAAAGAATGTCGATGCTTCAGAATTTGGCGGAGAGTGAAACTGTGGTCGATACAACCTCGACCGGGCATGAAATCAGCCTGGTTCTCACGCGTGCATCGTTCACGTGCGGCAGACAATCGACGGAGTATGATGTCGGCGAGAGGTTTAGAAGCAATGGTGATTAAACTAATTCCTCTGTGGTTTCCACAAGAG